GTTCGAAGAATACTATGTATATTAAGAAAAATAAAGCCAAAGATTAGGCCCCACCCATACCCGTCCCGATCTTAATTCTCCATTGTGATGAATTTTTCATTCTTTATCAAATCGAGAGGCGGGGCTTAATTGTAAGATCCATATTTGTCTAGAAGGATTTACCATTTTAAACATGTTTCAATTAGAGATGTACCGACTAATGCCGGCCGACTAGTCGGCTTTGTCAAAACCGGTTTATAAATGCAACGGACAGTGTGTTTTATTTTCTATTTCTCTGACTACCTTAAAAACTTGTTTTATTTTAATAAAAGAAATAACTAAAGTTTCTTTGTTTTCCAAAAAATGTGTTAAATTTGTTTGGATAATTTTAACATTTAATTTTTTGTAGTAACTCAGTACAAAAATAAAGAATAGGTAACACAATTTAGGGCAGTTTATACATTACTTAACCAATTTTAACCACTTTTTTGGAAAATTTTTGGAAATTTTGAATTCGCTTTGCGTGTTTATTGGACCAGATATCGTGACAGCGATTTCAGAATCGTAACTAGCGGGAGATTATCTACACTTTGACACGAATCTTCGGTCGATTAAACCAATTTTAACCGGTTTTGACAAAGCCGACTAGTCGGCCGACACTAGTCGCTACATCTCTAGTTTCAATTTTTTTTTGTTCTGAAAAGACGACTACGTAGTATATTAAGAACAAAAAAAAATTTTTTTGAGTAAAGCGTTGCATATTTTGTTTGGAAAAAAAAATTCCAAATCGTGTATAATTATACCGGATGTCTGCAAAATGGCGGATTAACTCTTCAGTACGTTATGTACGGGAGTCCCAAAAAAAACTAGTATTGTCTTTCCAGTTTAAAGTGGTTTTTATGACAAGATAATAAACATTATCAGCTCATTATTACCCCACGACGGACAATATGTGTTGAATAATAATGTACGGCCCTGCAAGAAACCGACCACTTTCTTATTTAGGTATGGCTAGCGATTTACTCCAATTTTCCCAATCATCAACTTTGACACAATGGATCTGTATCATAAAAACCTCTTTAAACTGGGAAGACAATACCTGCTAGGAAAATAGTAATTTGGCAAATGAGATATCGTCTAAGAAACGAGAGGGTGGGTGGGCGGGGTTAGTAGTTGCCAAGATAAAAATGATTTTGGCAAATGACGTATCCTGTAAGAAACTTAATTAAATCATTATAAGAAAAGACACTAGAGGCTCCAAAGCACTTCCAAATTCTTTCCAAACAGGAATACCTAGAATCTCAAGATTGTTTTAAATTAAAAAAAAAAACCGGGGTCCAAAAATTAACTCAAAAACAGGTCAGGTCAGAGTTTTCTAAACAAAGAATACCAAAGTTCCCAAAAATTGTTTTAAATGATTTACAAAAAAAAATCTCCATGGGCTCCCCAAAATAATGGGTAGTACCCACGAGTCTCCCGAATAAAAAAAAATACTGCGGCACTCAAGAGTTTTTCAAATTCGTACAAAATAAAACATTAAAAGCTCAAAAGATTTTTTCAATTTCATCCAGCAACCAAACATTCGATTCCTGTAAATTTATCCGAAAATAAAACATCAGGGTACCTAAAAATAACTGCGAACATTTTAAATGTATGGTTTTGAAAACCAACAATTTTTGATACCTCAAACATTTTTATAGTTTAGGAAATATCGTTGTACCTTATACCTCGAGATTCTTTCGCATAAAAAAGGCACCAAGGAGTTACAACATTCCTTCGCATTCTTTCAAAGAAAAACACCAAGATCTTTCGTGATTCTTCCACATTTTTTCAAAAATATACAAAGGAGACCCAAAATTCTTTCACATTCTTAAAAAAAACACTAGGAACTCCCGGGGTTCTTCCACATTCTTAAAAAGACACTATGAAACCTCGAAACTCTTCCATGTTCATTAAAAGAAGGCACTAGAGAGCCCTAAGATTCTTCCACTATTTAAGAGCTCCAGAAATACTTTCACATTCTTAGAAAAAACCTCTAAAAGCCCCGAAATTCTTCCACATCATTTTTAAAAAATTCTAGGAACCCCTAGATTCTTCCACATTCTTTAAAAAATACACCAGGAAGCCGTAAGCTTCTATCATATTCTTAAAAAAAAACCTCAAAGGGCCTTCGAGATTATTTTACATTCTTGAAAAAAAAAAAAACTTTTAAGGCCCCCCGAGATTGTTTCACATAGGTACATCACAAAAAAAATATATCCTCCGAGATTTTTTCATTTTCTTTCAAAAAGACACTAAGGAGTCCTTGAGATTCTTTAGCATGAAAAAAGGCACCAAAGAATTCCAATATTCCTTTATATTTTTCAAAGAAAACCATTAAGATCTTGTGCGATTCTTCCACATTTTTTCAAAAATACGGTAAGGACCTCCGAGATTCTTACTTAAAGTCTCCAGAGTTCTTGCACATTTTTTAAAAAAGGATACTAGCAGAATTCGAAATTTGTTCACATTCTTAGACACTAGAAAACTCCAAAACTCTTCCATGCTCATTAAAAGAAAACACTAGAAAGCCCTAAGATTCTTCCACTATTTAAGAGCTTTAGAGATATAGTTTAGGAAATATCGTTGTACCCTATAAAATTTTATTGACAATCACGACACTGGAAGTAGTACAATAGCAAGAGATATTTACAACTTAAAGTTGTCGCGTGGCGGTAATCCCCAGATGTTAGAATGCAGTATAATCCAGGTCCGGACAGGGATCATCGTTACTCACGAACAAAAATGACCATTATTTTATGAGTACAACTACCTGCTAAATGTTGTCCGACAAATAGGTACGGGTGGACTGATGGTGTGAGGCATAAATATTTGTTACCATTGTACTACTGTATGCCTTGTTATTGTCAATAAAATTTTATAGGGTACAACGATATTTTCTAAACTGTAACTGCTTACTCGATTTTTGCTGATTTGTACCTTCGCTTAATATCACGCAAACATTGTTGTCAGATGGAATTTTATGAAATTATTACATTTTAACTGAAATGGTAATTAAACATGGTCATGGGCGAGAGAAATATTAACCAAAAGTTTTATTACTACCTACTTAGTTATTGTGATAGTGAATGCGTTGATTAGTTGTTAAACGTAGCAAAAGAACCAATTTTAAAATCATTCGCCAAAATGTGAGAAGGAACTTTTTTACTATTTTTCCCAGACTCACCAGTTGATTGTAGATTGCGAGCGTAGTGGAGAGTGAATCCACTATTTTTTAGACACCCGGTATCATTAATGCAATTTTGAATAGAGATTTTTTTCTAAATTCATTGAGTTAGCACAATCATACTTTCTTTCTGATTGAAATAGCAAAATAAATTATGAAACAATCATTAAATAAATTAATAATAATAATTGATAACTTTAGTTAATATATTAATCAATAAATAAATTAACCAGTAACAACCGAAACCAAAATTAAACTTCTGTTCTCTACAAAAGATGCTCAAAATGCTCTCCATTTACTTTCTGGCAGTAAAAAAGACGCTGAATAAAATTTAGTAGTGATTTAATGAGAATTTCTGGACGAATGCTAGCAATTTCGTTATGTATGCGTTCCGGTAAATGTTCAGTGTGAATGGGTCTATTGATATAAACAGAATTCTTCAAATAGCCCCACCAAAAAAAGTCAAGCGGTGTCAAATCCAGTGACCTGTCAGGACACTCAATAGTCTACCCCTTCGGCCTTTCCATCAGCCACGAAAATTTTAATTCACCTAAGTACCGTCGCACTTGACGTCCAAAATGGGGTGGAGCACCGTCTTGTTGAAACCAAATAGTTTCCGGATTTTGGTAATTGGGAAACAATTCTCACAAATCGTTGATTCGTCAGAAAACAAAATCCTGTTGATAAAATTTCCGTTTGTTTGTATTCTGTAGGTACATAATAATTTCGCTAAATTCAACTCTACGATCAAAATCATCTTCGTTTTGCTCTTGTATAAATGGATTTTGTATGGGTGAAACTTTTCCTTTTTCATTATTGTTTGACTTGATTTTCTACTAACATTGTGATTCAGCACTAATTGTTGCACTGACGTTTTGGAATTTTCTGTTGCGTCTAAGAGGACATTGAGGGCATTTTCATCATTTGTAGCAGTTTTTGGACGTTCTTTAACATTTCCAGTTTCATTAAATCTTCGTAGGGTTTTTGAAAACGGGGACTTAGAAAAGTGTTACTACTTGAGCAAAACTTCGTCTGTTCTCTGTTGCCACCGTAACCGATAAGTACTAATAATTCTATGCGCTCAGTTTCACTTAGATGCACTATTTTTGCAAGAAACACCTGACATGTCAATTTAAAATTATTTTCAAAGGTAACTATGCCATCTTTTTTTTCATTCATTTTTATTTAAAATAATCTATTTTGTCATTTCAATCAGAAAGAAAGTATGATTGGGCTACATCAATAACTTCAGAAAAAAGTACTGTACCTACTGAAAAATGCGTTAATTATATATGGTGCCATTTAAAAAAAATCAAGTTGCCCTTGCATCTCAAAAATAAATGAAGCAAGAAAAATTTTTTTGTTGACGAATAATTAGAGCACAACTTCTTGTAGTACCCCTATACCTAATTTAAGTTGATTTGTACAATTGATTCTCAAGATATTTAACCATTTAAACTACATAATTTGACACATAAATGAAGTAGGTAATTGTTGCAATCGACTTAATCCAGAATTGAAATTTCCCAAAAAATGTGAAATTGCGGCCAACCCATCGTTCTCCAACCCATCAACCCATCTCGAAAAATCAACGTAAAAAATCAACAAGTCTGTCATCGCGACCCACCTCCCGCCGCGATTGGCGCATCTCTCGCCAACCGCGTCTCCCCGAGCGCCCCATTGTTCCCTCGAGCCAATAGCGGGGGTCCTTCTCTCCGCCAATCGCGCTCCTTCCCGGCCCGCCTTCCCTCTGCGTCCCAGAATGGCCTACTGCGCGCTCAGTCCAGCTGTGAACACCGCCCGGAGAGCAAGTGCCAGAGCTCGTGTTCGTCCGTCGCGTCTTGACCGTTATCATGTGCTCAGTGTTTTCTATGTAAAGGACCTGGTGCTCTCGCATCATGATCAACGCCTTCATGGACGGCGGCCACCACCTGGCCTCCTACGGCCTCAAGATGAGCCCCGGCCACAACGGCGGCGGCGCGCCGTTGCCGTCCCCGCACCAGAACCCGGCGGCCGCCATGACCGCCCCCGAGCAGAACCACCACTTCCAGCCCAACTACGGCCACATGGGCCACCTCAACCACGCCGGGTACGCCGCGCGCGACTTCCTGCTGCGGCGGGAGCACGAGTTCCCGACGGCGGCGCAGACCGCCCCCAGCGAGCCGGTGCTGTTCCACCATCACGGCGACCACCAGCACCACCTGTCCCACCACCAGATGCTGTACTCGCGGACGGACTCGCACGTGTACCACCAGAACCACAACCACCACTACCTGAACCCGCACGTGCCGATGCCGCATCACCCGGGGAACGTGCACGGGGCCTTCTTCAGGTACATGCGCCAGCCCATCAAGCAGGAGATGCAGTGTCTGTGGGTGGACCCGGAGCAGCCGCCTCCGAGGAAGATCTGCGGCAAGCACTTCACGAGCATGCACGAGATCGTCACGCACTTGACGGTGGAGCACGTTGGAGGGCCCGAGTGCACGACGCATGCCTGCTTCTGGCAGAACTGCTCGAGGAACGGGAGGCCGTTCAAGGCCAAGTACAAATTAGTCAATCACATCAGGGTGCACACGGGGGAGAAACCCTTCCCGTGCCCTTTTCCAGGCTGTGGGAAGGTCTTCGCGAGGAGCGAGAACCTGAAGATCCACAAGAGAACGCACACAGGTAAGGACGGGCTACTGGTGAAAACGTGACGTTTGGGTTGAGAGGGGTTGTGATGGAGAGAATAGGGTTGTTTGGTGCTTCCGAGGGAAACGAGCATTCCATAACACTCACACAAATACCTTTCATAAAAGCGGAGTTAAGGCCATTTAGTGCATACTCGTTAAGGCTATTATTGCGGTTATAAATCGAAAATAAATATAGACCATTACCATTTTACTTAACAGATATCTCTAAGTTTCTACATTACAAGATTTCTTCTACGATTCGTGGTTAGGTACCTAAAAATATTTCTTTCATTGGTTAATTAAACCATTCTTAATAATCCTTAATTAATGATAATAATGCAACCTTTGTTGATATAAAAAGGACTGAGGCGAAGTCTGACAAAAAAGGAGAAGATAAAACAGTAATAAAAATCAAAGAAACTAATTATCTCATTGATCTACGATTTTTTCGCATTACTTGAAGTGACTATAGGTTCACTCTTTGACTCAAAATAATAATAAGTCTGTGTATCCTCAGCGAAGGCTCTATTTTTAGTAAACGTTGTACATTACAATAGCTCCGCAGTATAAATTGATAAAAGAATAGGCCCCAAACTTGAACCTTGTGGTACTCCTGTTGTCAATAGCCGAACGACTATTATTACGACTGTTATTTATTAGGGCTGTAAAGAGGCGCAAAACTGAGCTCACGCCATTGTAAACCTCATCCACTATAAGCTAGACAAATGTGACAGGTTTACCTCGCCAGTTTTGTCTAAAAATACCGTCTTGTAAATTAGTTTAGAACCAAGACAAAAAACTGTGTTGGCTTCTTTGTGGTTTATGCAATGACAATTTTGTTTTATCTTGGTGACTTTTCGCTTGAAACAATTTTTGTTCGTCTGACGTTTAGTGATTATGTTTCGGGGAAAGTCGAGGTCTGGGTTGAGAAGGGTCGGTGAATAGAATAGGTCTGTTTGTTGCTTCTGAGGGAAATGCGAACACTCATACTATAAAATAGACGTTTCATGAAAGCCTTTTAGTGCACACTCCTTAGGCTATTATTACAATTGCAAAGAATTTAGAATAATCTAGACAATAAAAATTATGAACCGTTATAATGACATTTTAATTATGTCTACAATACAAGATTTCTATTTCTTCATTATAAATGCTATACGATTTGTGGCTGTCAATAAGAACTGATTTCTTTCATTGGCAAACATTTAATTACTTATGTAATTATTGTAGTACCATTCTTATAACAAACCTTAATTAAGGTCGATGAATTATTTCTGAACCTACCCTTTAGCCAGGTACGAGGGCCATTCAGGAAACAATCATTGCAACCCTATACCACGCTATAAATAGAAGAATGTCACAGGTTCACCTCGCTAATTTCTGTCAAAAATGCCGCGTTGGAAACTAGTTTAGAGTAAATATAAAGGTCAACGAAAATATGTATAAAATACAAAATTGTCCAAGGTTTCTCTTGTTGTTGTCCCTCGTAATAGTTTAATTTTTTTTTTAATCTCAAGATTATCGTCGAATATTGTCGAAAAATATTTATGTTAATAAAAATAAATCGTTTGAGCTTTTTAAAACAATTTCGGTTTCACACAGTACGTCGGGGCAGCTGCACACTTGGACCTCTTTTGTCTTCATGTATCCGACGGTCCGCAGCGGTAACGTGCGACGAAGACAAATCCACTCTGTGTGTAATACGTAAAGAAACCGAATGTTATTACAATTTTTTTTCTTTCAAATTGATTTTAGTTTCGTAAGTAATTTGGATTTTATGAAAGTAGGTACATAATAACACGCTTCGTTGATTGGCGGCATGTTTTCGAAACTGACATTTTATTGGAGTCTAACCCTTGATATTACGAATCTGCGTTTTAATTAGGCCTGATCGTATAAAATAAAGTGGTTAATATGGAACTATCGGATTCAAGTGGTTCGTATCTGGTGCAATATCGTGTCATAAGTTAATTGCAAAGTTAAATGTTTTCTGATCAGTAGTATCCAGAACTGGGTGCTTAAGTTATTAAGAAAGTAACTATAATGTGGGTTAGAGTTACGTAAGTGTGAGAATAACTTAGTCATTGTTGCAGCTATCACCTTTTTTAAATAACTAAGTATAGGTTACAGTTATCTAAGAATGCAGTTTTCAGTTTTATTTTTTTAATAACCCAAAAATCACGATAATAAATAATTTTCTTACTTGTTATACAAAGTATAAAATAATAACATTGTTTTATAAAATGGTTGCGACACAAGACAAGTAATTAGATTTTTTGTGCCGATTTTTACATAAGTAGCAAATTATTATTAAATTATTACTAACTAATTATTATTTAACGATCTATCTGGCTGCAGTTCATTAAAACAAATCAAATTACGGAGATAAATATTTTCGTTATTTTTTCATCATCCTGCGATTCAAGAAAATTAGAATAACTTGGCAACGTCGCAGTGAATTTCAAAAATAAATTATGATTTTATAGCCTAAGACAATTTATTTGAAATGTTAAATTAAGCGTTATTATCAACGCTCAAAATTTAATTTTCCAACAGTAAAAACCAAAATATTCAAGCGTAACATTGTCCACTAAATTCAAGTCGTACCTAATATAGAAATATGCGGAAAAGTAGTACCATATGATAAAAAAGTTGTCTGGTAGACCACGAAATTTATTTTTAAAATAATGATGTTGGCGTTGCAGATATTTGACACTTTATTTGTTTTATAGAAAGCGTAAAAAAGTTTTATTTATTGTAGAAACAACGCAATTTTGGGCAATGATATTCTATGTAGATTCTATATATTTTTTGAACATTTCAAAAATTTATGTTTCTGGAAGTTTTGTTCAAAAATCAGAAGATGAACAATTATTATTATCAGCGACGGAAGGCAACGTTTGCTATTAATGTTAAATATCGGGTCTTCAGTTAAAAAGTCATCAAGTCGGCTTTGATTTTTTGTGAACGTTGTGAAGTATGTCTACAATTAACCCAAAATTTAATCGATTACGACAGTCAACGCGGAAATGTCAGTTGTATAGAGCGGTATGAATTAATAAAACACGTGCGTTTTTCTGTGCGTTTTCTTCTATCAAAAATGCAACGCCAACTTAATGACTTTTTTAGTTGAACACCCGTTATGTCTAACCTATAATTTTTTTATTCCGCAACGTGAATTTGGTTAAATAACAAAAAAATACGATTTTTTATGGCGATTAACTAATAATAATTGACAACTATTTTCGGTAGTATTAAAATTATTCTGCAACCATCCGGAAATTGTTATTTTTGTAAATTTCCATATTTCATATTTGTCGTTTCCAAGTAGAGATTTTTACATTGATTGAGAGCATCAGGCGTCTGATTATCCTATGCTTAAATGACATGTGACACGATTAAAACGGACATTGTGTTCATTTTTTAGATACTTACTTGTTTTTTCAAATAATTAGTTTCGTTATTTTTCAATTGTGATGTACAGGATGTCCGATTGCACTCTGTTCAGCTACATTTACAGTTATTATTTTAAAATATACAGTATGTTCCATTTAGAATTTACACACGAAAGTTGTATTTATTTACCAGAAGATCCTCTACGTTTTTACGGATTTACATTCTTTAAGAAAAGTGGTACATAAAGATCAAATACTAGGAGTAACGAAAAGAGTTGTGAAAATATCATATTATGGTAAAAAAAAACTCTAGTAAGCCGTGAAATTTATTTTTAAAATAATGATGTTGGCAGATCAACGCCTTTCCTGTCAAGGGTGACAGTCAAATAACTGTCAAATAAAGGGTCAAATAACTGGAAGGCTATAATGTCTTTATTTTAAATATATTTTACACAGTCTACCAGATTTTTTTTTTTGATCATATGATAGATATTTACATTGGGATGAGAAAAATGGTGACTTAAAAGAATTCTTAATTTCAGTATTTTTACAGAGTGGCTTGGGATTTTATACAAAACTTTGTCGCTAGATTTAAAGTTATTTACATGAAGTGACTGAATTTATAAATTGTCAATTTTGTCAAGTTTTTTAATTAACAACATTTTCGAATTTGTTTCTAAGTAAATTTTCTTTCTTTGTTGGGATTTATATTCACCACAAATTCAAAAAAAAATACGGTAATAAGATAAGCTTGAAAACGTTAGTTCCTGACGTTCTGTAGTTCTTATTGTTTGTTAAAAAAATCATTAACAATAAAAACCTCTAGTTTAGACGTGTCACAAGCTTCACTCGCTTTCCTTAAAGTGGGATTTATAAACTTCCTGTTCACGTTAAGTTCCCGTCAATACAGTAAGTCTACACATGTTTTGAAAATAAAGGCAAAATATATGCCCCGCCCACCCTCCCTATCTCAATTGTGATGATTATTTTCTTATTCGTCGTGAGCCAAGAAGGCGGAGCCTAATAGCAAAATCCATATTTCCTCTTAAAAAATCACCATTTTAAATGTGTTTTAAGTTTCTAAGAATAAAAAAAATCATCACAATCGAGACGGGGTGGGTGGGTGGGGTTTATATGTTGCCTTTTTTTCTTAATACATATGTTTTTAATTTCTTGTAAAGAAATAAGCATTTTGCAGTCAAACTCCGCCCCCTTGTTTCACGGCGAATAAAAAAAACATCACAATTGAGACAGGGTGGGTGGGCGGGCTTACTTTTTGCTTTTTTGTTTTAAATTGTGTAGACTTCTCTTCACATGAAACTTAAAACATGTTTAAGATGGAAAATTTTGTGTACGCTTTTAACCATGGTTTAATTTCTTGTTGTGAAAAGATGGCAATGTATGATAAGAAAAAAGCAAAAATATAAGCCCCGCCCACCCACCCTATTCCAATTCTGATGATTTTTTTTATTCGTCGTGTGCCAAGAAGGCGGAGATTAACTGCAAAATCCTTATTTCTCTACGAGAAATTAAAAACATGTTTTTGAGTGTCGTGTTGTTCAAAGAATACTATGTATACCTATTAAGAAAAAAATAAAGC